AAGAGACAAAACCATTAAACCTATAAATGTTGAAGACATGAGAAAGGCCAGTATCATGTTTGTAAAATTGGCACAAACGGATGCCTTCAAAAATGAGATACAAATACTGAGTCATGGCAAATTGCCACATAGTCATCCGTTGTTCCAACTTGATCCAGTACTGCATGATGGTGTTCTCAGGGTGGGAGGGCGATTGAGGAAAGCTTCCTTACCTCTTGACTCGAAGCACCCAGCAATCCTCCCGAGAGACGGTGTGGTCACACGTCTTATCTTGGATTACTGCCATGAAAAAACTCAGCACCAAGGCAGAGGACAGACCCTCAATGAATTGAGAACAAATGGTTACTGGGTTGTTGGTGGCAGCAAAGTTGTGGCAAACCACATTAAGCAATGTGTTACATGCAGGAGAGCTCACAGGCCAACAGAGCTGCAAAAGATGGCAGACCTACCTGCTAACAGTGTTGACCCCTCTCCACCATTCTCATACTGTGGGATGGATTGCTTTGGGCCATTTCTCTGTAAGCAAGATCGTAAAGAGCATAAGATATATGGTATCATATTCACCTGTTTCTCCTCAAGAGGTTTTAGATAATTTCAGCGGATTAATGATACTGAAAGATCCGGTTTCAAGTTTCATCACTACCTTATACTCTTCCTTCCTTCTTCTTGTCAGATGCGTTTCATTTTCACTGTCAGTTGCAGATGCGTTACTCCAGCTTTTCTTTCTTTTTCGATTTTCTACTATACTCCATTCATTATTTCCATTCCCGCCTTCGTCCGCGTCAAACACTTCATCCTCCATTTCCGGATCACTTCCGGAATCTACGCCACTTCCTACCATGCACTCTCCAGTCACAGATCAGCTGTTGCCAAACCGCCTCCTCTTCCCCAAACGTCTGCTGCCCGAGAATCGGTTCTCTCGAGAAGTTCGTTTTCAAACCAGCGAAGTGTTCAAGTGTGTGTGCATCTATTAAAGTCCTTCTAATGTGAGACAGCTGTGGACTGATGATGAGATCTAATGAGTGACAGGTGATGCAATAGATGATGAGTCCGGCAAAGGATTGTGGGGAATGTAGTCCAGGGTGAATGGCAAAAGTCAGGGATGGAGTGCCCACTGGTGGAGCTCATGGGCACTCCAGTTGGTGATCGTGACAAGGACACACAACGCATCTTTGTGAGAATCGAGGTGCACAGTGATCTTGTTGCTCATCTAACCATCCCAGCACATTTTAAGTTGAGGGACAGCCCAACAAATCACATATTACTTCACAGTTATTATAACCTATTAAAACATTAGGTTCCATTATTGTTTATATTATTTTAGATATTATTTTACTGCATTTGTGAAAATGTGTACATATTTAATGTTATGACTGCTTTGTCAATGTTTCTTTTTACTATACCAATAAAAAGTACTGCAGGCTTTCTCATTCTCTATCACTTTATTAAATTTGTGTCTTTTTACAACAGAGAATTTTCAAGTGTCCTCTGTACTAGTGTAATTTTTGGAGTTGAACTTTGACTATAACGCATATTGAGAAACAGAACTTGCAAAAAGGACCAACAATTGATTCATATTTAAGTTACATTTTACCTGTCCTAAAAGCAATAATTCCAATTGTAATAATTGTAATAATAATTCCGAACCAATTGCTCTTTATGGCAGTGAGATATGGGCACCTCTAAAAACCCAAGATTTCTCCAAATGGGAAAAAGAAGAAATTGAAATTATGCATACCCAAATGTGATGCGAGCCCTTACCAGACTGAAGCTCTGCAGTGTCTCGTCTGAGGCGGAGTGGAGATTGAGCTTGTTCTGTTGCGGCTCCAGCACTTTGGAATGCTCTGCCATTATCTATAAAATCCTCATCAAGCATGGACATTTTTAAAAAGGACTTAAAAGACTTGTTTTATCAGGCTTTCGACAATTGTGAATGACTTGTCTTTTATTTTATGTTATGTTTTGTTCCTGTTTTAATGTTTTATGTTTTTCTCACCAGACTGAAGCCCTGCAGTGATGCGAGCTCTCACCAGACTGAAGCCCTGCAGTGTCTCGTCTGAGGCGGAGTGGAGATAGAGCTTGTTCTGTTGCGGCTCCAGCACTTTGGAATGCTCTGCCATTATTTATAAAATCCTCATCAAGCATGGACATTTTTAAAAAGGACTTAAAAGACTTGTTTTATCAGGCTTTCGACAATTGTGAATGACTTGTCTTTTATTTTATGTTATGTTTTGTTCCTGTTTTAATGTTTTATGTTTTTTTTATTATATACTGCTTGTGTACAGCACTTTGGTCCATTTTTATGGTTTTGAAAATGCTTTATAAATAAAGGTTGAGTTAAGTTGAGCCACCATTCGATACCTCCGTTGGACCAATTGCGTGAGCCTTACAATGGTGAAATATTTCAAGATTTTAAATGGAGGTAAGGATGTATGTGTGTAGTCTGAGCCAACATTTGTCAACAAAATCGTGTGCAATTTTTTTTCTGTAACTTGTTCCTTATTTATGGCAACACTGTACATGTATCATATGCTTCCAGTTTAAGTAACATTCAAGTAACTAATATTTACAGACAAGTGATCCATCTGAAGAGAAGCTATCATCAAAGCTTTTTTGCTCTACCTTGCTGAGGAAGAGGGATTCGTAATCAAGGAGTACATGGTGAGTTGGAGTAAATTTATTTCACCGATTTGTTATTGGTTCTTTAAAATGTCAGCACTTTCTTTTGGCTTTTACATGATAAAGATGCTTTATGACAAATTGCTGTTAAAAATGTTATGTAGTTATGTGGCACCCTTAAAGTATTTTTAAACAGAACCAGGCACATGCTTGTTTTATGAATAAACTGTTATTGATTTTCTCAACTTTTGACATTATAAAGTCATGTTACTTTCAACCTCATCTCTTACTCTTTTAAACAGCACCTTTTGTTATAGACATTATGCATATATAACAATTGTAAGAAATTAATGTAGTGTAACCACTATTGCCTTAATTTGAGTAAATTCAAAAAAATATTTTTTTCAGTGAAGAACTAATCATTCTTTCTAGAGAAGTGTGACCTACATACACATTTATCAATGTTTTTCTAGTCTTTGGACTTAAAAGCCTTAATGCTGTTGTTTTTGTCATTCCTGCACACACACACAAGGGAAAACAAATACACATGCACACTAAGAAACAGGTCCACATACTTTTGACCAGATCTGAGGAACCGGACTGTGTCAAGTCACCTTTATTTATATAGTGCTTTTAACAATACAGATTGTGTCAAAGCAACTGTACAGCATTAATTAGGAAAATAGTGCGTCAATGATGCAAAATAACAATAGTAAACATTAATTTTTCAGTTAAAGACAGTTCATCATTGAACTGAGCTGGATGATGACATCACTGAATTCAGTTTAAATAGTCTCTGTGCAATCAAGTCGACGATATCGCTGGAAATTACCGGTAAGTGTCCCCAACTAAGCAAGCCAGAGGAACCAAAACTCCATCGGTGACAGAATGGAGTAAAAACCTTGGGAGAAACCAGGCTCAGTCGGGGGGCCTTTTGGACCAGCTGGAGTTTGTTTATTAAGCGTGCAGAACAACCACCCAATAAAGCATTACAATAATCTAACCTTGAGGTCATAAACGCATGGATTAACATTTCTGCATTTGACATTGAGAGAATAGGTCGTAATTTAGATATATTTTTGAGATGGAAAAATGCAGTTTTACAAATGCTAGAAACGTGGCTTTCTAACGAAAGATTGCTATCAAATAGCACACCTAGGTTCCTAACTGATGACGAAGAATTGACAGAGCAGCCATCAAGTCTTAGGGAGTGTTCTAGGTTATTATATGCAGAGTTTTTAGGTCCTATAATTAACACCCCTGTTTTTTCAGAATTTAGCAGTAAGAAATTACTCATCATCCAGTTTTTTATATCGACTATGCATTCCGCTAGTTTTTTCAAATTGGTATGTTTCGCCGGGCTGCGAAGAAATATAGAGCTGAGTATCATCAGCATAACAGTGAAAGCTAACACCGTGTTTCCTGATGATATCTCCCAAGGGTAACATGTAAAGTGTGAAGAGTAATGGCCCTAGTACTGAGCCTTGAGGTACTCCATACTGCACTTGTGATCGATATGATACCTCTTCATTCACTGCTACGAATTGATGGCGGTCATATAAGTACGATTTGAACCATGCTAATGCACTTCCATTAATGCCAACAAAGTTTTCTAGTCTATGCAAAAGAATGTTGTGGTCAATAGTGTCAAACGCAGCGCTAAGATCCAATAGCACTAATAGAGAGATACAACCACAATCAGATGATAAGAGCAGGTTATTTGTAACTCTAATGAGAGCAGTCTCAGTACTATGATACGGTCTAAATCCTGACTGGAAATCCTCACAGATACCGTTTTTCTCTAAGAAGGAATATAATTGTGAGGATACTACCTTTTCTAGTATCTTGGACAGAAAAGGGAGATTCGAGATCGGTCTGTAATTAACTAGTTCTTTGGGGTCAAGTTGTGTTTTTTTGACGAGAGGCTTCTAACAACAATTCGATTTCTAACACAAAATTACTAGAGATTTTCAAATGGCAGTTTTACTTTTGAATCTGTATCAGAGCTTCTCTGTCTTGTAGTTCCTTAAAGCCAATTCACACTGCACTGACAGACAGTGATGATCACCAGATTATCCTACATCACTTCTCAGACATTCATTCGACAACCTGGCAAATGAACACCGATCAATAGCGACAGACAAAGCTATGTGACTACACTCTAAAAAATGCTGGGTTGTGTCAACCCAACTTTGGGTTAGTCCATATTTGACCCAAAGTTGGGTTGAAACGACCCAGCATTTTTTAGAGTGTACACTCGACCAGCCGTCTGTTTGGTGTCTGTGAGTGTCTGTCTGTGTGTGTGAACTCACCTTTAAAGCACCAAATGACAAGAAAGATAATGGATCCTTTCAGCCAAACACAAATTATTGAAAGAAAGATCAGAGAAACAGAGTGCCAAAAAAAAAAAGATTTAATAAACAAACATTTATGAGGGGAGGGGGCACATTACTCCTGCTCCGTCTGAAATTAAATTGAAACAGAAACTCAAGTGAATCATATGCACAGCAGCAGATCTGAAAGTGAATCATATCACAGGACGAGCTAAACTCTGAACTACAGACACATTCACTGTTTCTACTTTAGCAAACAAGAGTCTGCTGAATGAAAGAGCTGATAGAAAAGCTTGATACTGATGTTCTGCATAATCATAATAATCTTACCTCGTTACGTGGCGGCGGTGGCAAGTTTGTGCTGGGGGTGGAGCTGGTGGTACGTGGTGGCGGTGGCAAGTTGGTGCTGGGGGTGCAGCTAGTGGTACGTGGCGGCGGTGGCAAGTTGGTGCTGGGGGTGCAGCTGGTGGCGGCGGTGGCAAGTTGGTGCTGGGGGTGGAGCTGGTGGTACGTGGCGGCGGTGGCAAGTTGGTGCTGGGGGTGGAGCTGGTGGTACGTGGCGGCGGTGGCAAGTTGGTGCTGGGGGTGGAGCTGCTGCTGGATGGCTGTGAACATCACAGATCAGGTGTTAATGGAGAAAGGAATGGAGCTTGAGTGTGAAATGTGTTTCTGACAGCAGATTCAGAGCTTCAGTGTGTGAAGCCCACAAAGTATACTTCACTTTTTACACATACACTAGGGTTTGCGTACTGTGCATCATCAGAACAGTAAGTGTGTACTGTACGTGCACCGCCTCTTTTTGTAACAGTGTGTACAATGTACTACAGCTTGCACGTGTGCTCCGTGTTATTTCCCATCTTCAGTAGGTTGGTGTTCAGAGGCCCGTGTTGATGAGTGCATGAGTGAGGGGTTAAAAGACAAACAACTCTCACAACACATTTTTACCACTTTTGCAGAAAAAAGTGCAGACACTGAACAAGGATGAATCTCTATAGTGCACTATCAAATGGAGTATACTTTGAAAAGCTGTGTGTGTGTGTGTGTCTGAGAGGTCGACGCTCTCTCTTTTTCCTCTTCGCCAATCAGGACAGCCATGGCTGCTTGGACAGCTGCCTCCCTGGCCTCCCTTTTGCTCGAAGAGCTCATGGGGAGAAAGGAGCGGGCCCCAATCTTCACTTGGACAGTGAATCTGAGAGACAGAGACACATGAACAGAGAGACACGTGATCTTCATGAGTGTGTGTGTGTGTACCTGGTATTTATCACATTATGGGGAACAAATATCCCCACAAGGATAGTAATACCAGTACATTTTGCCCTTGTGGGCACATTTGTTTAGGCCCCCATGAGGAAACAAGCTTATAAATCATACAAAAATGAAGTTTTTTGAAAATCTAAAAATGCAGAAAGTTTAGGGGTTCAGGTGTAGGGTGATAGAATATACAGTTTATACAGTATAAAAACCTTTACGCCTATGGAATGTCCCCATAATACATGGAAACACAACGTGTGTGTGTGTGTGTGTGTGTCGTGTTCCTGAGGAGCAGTATGAGAAAGCACACGAGCAGCAGAAGTTTGAATATACTGTAGCCTGCTCCGAGAATTAGCTGCAAGGCCAGAGAACAAGGCATTACAATAATCCAACCTAGTCATAACGAAGACATGTACAAGCCTTTCTGCATCAGCAAAAGTGAGAAGAGGTCCAAGTCGAGCAATGTTCCTAAGGTGATAGAAGCCAGTTTTAGAATGCGTTTTATATGTGCATCAAATGTTGATTGAGAATCAAAAATACCATGAAGTGGGAAATACCATGCTGGAATCAACAATCAAAACTAATCTGATCAGCCTTTTGAGTAACCACCACTGTACCAATCAGCATCACATCAGTTTTAGAGCCGTTCAGCCTCAGGAAGTTATTCTGCATCCAGTTCCTGATCTCATCTAGACACCTACTCAAAGTGATTCATGTGGAATGGACATCAGGGCTACTGGTGATGTAAATCTGAGTGTCATCCGCATAGCAGTGATACACGACCATATTTCCTTATCATCTGCTTAAGTGGATACATATTTACACTAAATAAAATTGGGCCCAACAATGAACCCTGAGAAACTCCGTCGAACAGGCACGTATCAGATTTATGATTATCCAAGCTAACAAAATGGGCACAATCGGTTAAATAAGATATAAACCAGCCGAACACCGTTCCGAAAAGACCCTGCCAATTATTCAGCCTGTCCAGCAGAACAGAATGGCATATGGTGTCAAAAGCAGCACTAAGCTCTAACAAGACCAAGATACTGCGTGCACCAGCATCAGCTGCAATAAGGAGATCATTTACAACCCTCACTAAAGCCATCTCAGTATTATGCACTTAGAAATTAGAAATCCCACAACCAGTTGACTTCGGGGCTGGCGTAAAAGCAGCTGTTTTTAATTCTGACATGTTGCTGGTTCTCAGAATCAAAGCATCAGTGTCTGGGTGATTGGTAGTGTGATTTAATATAGTGTCACTTCTAGTCACCTCTCATCTGGACAAATCACTTGAATGAATGCAAGTGAAGTCAGTCTTCTTTAGGGGTTTTTAGCGTGGGCGGCATGAGAACATGTCAGGAAAGGTATAATAATATTTGATTACTAATTTGAATCAATACTTTATAATGAAAACAATACCTGAAAAATGAAAAGCAGCAGGTTTTTGCGATCAGGAGTGTGTGTGTGTGTGTGTACCTGAGAGGATAGCGTCTCCTCTCCAGTTCCTCCCTGGCATCCTTTCTCGAGCCCGTGCTCATTGGGGGAAATGGTACCTCCCATCATTGAAAAATGAAAAGCAGCAGGTTTTTGCGATCAGGAGTGTGTGTGTACCTGAGAGGACAGCATCTCCTCTCCAGCTCCTCCCTGGTCTCCTTTCTCGAGCCCGTGCTCATTGGGGGAAATGGTGCCTCCCATCACAACCTGGTTTATAAACCTGAGAGACCAGTGATCTTCATGTTAGTGAGGACACAACAGCTGATTTTCCACCATCAGGCCAGTGTGAACTAAAGTTAACAATGTGTTGAGCTCAAGCAAGGCCAGTAGCCTCAGATCTCCAGCCCCGAACCACAAATCAAGCCGCGTTTCCACTGTGAGCCAGTAGCCCTGCATCGCTACTCTAAAACACTGCTTTAACAACATCACACAACCAGCACGGGGAAGCTAACGGACTGAAAACTACATCATGACCATGACAGAAGTGGACCTCTAGTCTTTACTTTAAAGGGTCATGAAACCCCAAAACATATGCTTTGTCAGCGATCGTTAGATTTCAAAATCCCAGTCAGATCACAATCGGAAGTGATTTCTGACAGTTGCGGGTGTCTGAAAGGGAGTTTTGAGCTGAAATTTGAAATTTCAATGCCTTTCATCTTTAACCTGACCGCTGGCCCCGAGGAGACTCAATCAAACCCCAGAAGTGACAAAACCCGAGCGGCCCGACACACACCACACACTCGCTTTGAGCCCACAGTGCAATGAGACGAGCTCCAGATGATTCTGTGTGTGTGTGTGTGTGTGTGTACCTGTGCATGGGGGGCCCCGTCTACCCCATCTCTCTTATGTCGAGCGCCACCCCAAAATCTTTGCTGTAAGTGTTCAGGACAGGGAGGGAAT